AAATGTGCCAATAAATCAATGAAATAAAAATTTTCTCATGGCTGTAATTCAGGACTGCTTATGTAATTCTAAACAGAATAATCCTATTTCTTAATATATTACATTGTAACGAACAGCCAGAAATTTTCCAATGTACATAAGGAGTATAGGATTATATACATACAGTAAAGAAATATTTTTTTTATTTGAACATGACTCCTAGTATCTTCATGGACATGTCCCCATACTTTTAATCACAATAGTTGAGGTGATTTGCCATTGCTTCTACCCCGTGCAGGCTTTTTTTCCCCTTCCCATATAGTTGAAGCCCTGGTAGCTTCCCACAGTGTCTTGCTCACAAATTGCAACATTCTCTGCTTATTTGTGAACCCAGCCTTTGTGATTTATAAATTGTGGTTTAGCAAAATAAGTGAAATAGTGCTTCATTCACAGCCCAGTAAGCTTATTGCTGCAGAAAATTTTTAAATAATTTTGCTAGTCTTCTGGAGAAAAACATTTTGCATGTTGATTTTTATTATTAAAAATTAGTCTTGAGACATTCCTCTGTTTTAAGAATTCCCTTGCATCAATATTTTAATTATTTTTAGCTTGTTTTTCCTTTAAAACAAACAAAAAAGATATGATTGAAACACCATAAGGAAACCTCTCTCTGTCTCTATCTCTATCTCTCTGTTAAAAGTTCTTTGTCTTCATCCCGGTTATGACAAAATAGAGGTGAGGTTTTTTAGACTTAAATAGTGACCTTTTAGAATTGTGCAGATGCAAAATTGTGAAAGACTTTTCTTTTTTTATAATCAGTTGTTTCCAATAATGGCATATTTGGGGGATGCACATAGAATTGGAATATCTATACAATTAAAAAAAGTAGTGTTAGATATTAGTGTATTTTCAGCAATGCTTCATCTTTAAAACGGCTTCACAGTCCAAAGGTGCATTAGACCTGACTATAGAAACATTATTTACATAGCACTGGAGGTGTTTACCTCCATTTATTAAATATATTAATCAGAATCAACCTTCCCCATTCTTTGAAATCATTTGGAAAAGCCATAACAATAAAATGTAATTGTTAACAAAAACTAAAAACCCAGTAAAAGACAATAAAAATATTACAATATGTTTTAATGAATACATTACATTAAAAAGCTTTTTAAAATGAAGAAATGGCAATAATTATTAAAATTTTAGCAGAACATTATAATTTTTATCTGTCAACTACACTGAGCAAGTCAGCCGAGTCTCTCTGGGAAAAAAGTTCCTAAACTCAAGCCTTCTTCTGCAAAAGCCTAATCACAAATAATATGATATATCTGCTTTTGGCAAAATGTATTGTTTGAATCCACATTATAGGCAAAATAGCCACTCTGATGCTTGTTCAGCAAACTGTACTTGCAAAAATTGCAGGGTTTTAGAATTTTAAGTCTAATTATAACTGAAAATTCCTTCCCTAAAAGCATGAATCTCTAGAATATGGGACATAAAAGCTGACCTTCAGTGCATAATGCAGGTTCTGGCAGATATATATGTTTTCAAAATAAGCTGGTCCAAGATGTACAGGTATGAACAAGCAACTCAGAAAAATTTGGAAATAAATTTGAATTCAGTGAAGATATTTCAAGACTCATTGTAACATGCATACGAGGTGTGCTCCTTGCATTAGTTGTTATTTCTAAATATTTTTCAGGTCCAACCCACATCCAGCATGTTACAGTAATCTACTGTAGAGGAAGGGATGAGTCATTAGGATATTAGCACAGGTAGATTGGGGAAAAATGGAGATTATATCAGTACCTAAAACATTAAGCATTACTGCCATTGTCCAAATCTACATAACAATTTGGAGCTGAAAGAAAACATTCTTAGTTTGCTGCATTTAGAATTTTTAAGATTTCAGAGAATGGATGTGGGATGCATTACTGAATGTCTGCTGACAGTAACAGTCTGCTTATAGGCCTGTTGGATGATATTTATGGTCTGTTTTAACACTGACCTAATTTTAAGGCTGAATGTTGACTTTATTTTAAGAGAATGTACATGCAGCAGCATTTCTTAGGAATGTGTAACAATTATCTTAGCAGAGACTGCATTGCAGTTTTCATTTGTACTAATAAGTAGCCATCATGGAGAAAACAGACCAATAAAAATCTCCCCCACTTTAGTGGATAGTATTTTTCAGTGGCTGAATTTATACCATGTGATCCAGTTAATACCAAAGTTCATAATTTGAACAAACATGACATAAGCTAGTAATTAGCTTTTCCACATAATTTCCAACCATTTCAGAAGCATCTTTATCAAACTGAAATATTTCAAATGTCCATGAAATAAAGATGTTTATGTGAATTATCCATCTTTGGGCCATGATCTAATCTTGGCTTATCCATCAAGCTTACACCTGATGGGATCTTGTTATCTACCGGTTGGTGCAAAAGATAGCTCCTTTAGATTTTCTAGAGTCCTTGTGTCCATCATCATTGAAACTAAATTCCTAGGTAATCATTTATTTCTTATTTTATTGCTTTTTAAATTAGTGACAAAAAAACCAAAAAAAACCCCACAAAAATAAAAATACATTATTAAAGAAATAAACACATAGAATTTTGTTAAAAAAAGAAAAAGTACAACAAAGAAAAGAATGAAATAAATACATCATGTAAACAGTAAATTCTATATATAGTTATTTAATGCAATTATTATTCAAGTATATATATATGTTTCTAACATATAGTGTTAGAATAGATAGTATAGTATAACTCATGTTTTTAACCTATTGTGTTTTGTAAAAATGAGTCTCATACTTTATTATATTTTTCTATACAATATCTATGAGTCTCATCCACTCATAGCTGGCAAGTGCAATCAGGTCTTCAATCCATTGAGTGAAAAGTGTCATATTTATCTTTCCAATGCTGTAATATGGCCAGGGTGGGCGTGGGCAGCTCAACCTCATTCGTGTTGGGGGGCACCTGTGGTGGCCCGGGCGGGGCTGGGAGGGGATCCATTGTCTTCAGCCGAGGAAAGCGAGACCAGGGCAAGCTCTATACCCTTGTCCACCAGAGGACCTTGCTGTCCCTCTCAGGCCATGCAGAGGACCCCCAGTGATGCAGGCTGCCTGGAGCCCTGGGCAGTGGAGGGCAAGTGTCTAGTCCAGCCTTTTCCCAAGGGGGCACCCGGCTGTACTTACCTCCTCAAGGCTGCTGCTGATTGGCTTGCTCTCCTTGGCCAAGTTGTTCATGGTGGGAGACCACCAGGAGAGGTCAGGAGGAGGGGATGGCGAAAGGGCAGCAGGGCTGCTCGTGGCCAAATGCTAAGGCAGGACTTCCCTTAGACTCTTCCTCCCTCTCATTATAATCTTTCTTCCTCCCTCCCTCCCTCCCTTCCTTCCTTCTTTCTCCTTCTCATCTCTTTCCTTCCTCTGCGCTCAGGAAGGGGTGATGGGAGGGTGAGAGATTGCCAGTGCGGCCGGTGTCCATGCTGCCGGCCGTTGCTATCCCATGCAGGCTGGCGGGAGCAGTCCTGGTGAAAGGGAAGCCTCATAGCTGTGAGGCTAGGTCATTGAGTGGGCCATGGAGGTGCTGGTGGGAGGGGGAGTGGCGCTGACCTATAACCTGGTTGCATCCATCAAAGCCAGAATGTGCTCAGCCTTAGATCCACAAGGCAGCCCTGGAACCAGCGAGGAGCCACCCTGTCACCTCTGCCTCGCCCCCTGGGTGTGTGTGCACAGGAGACAGCCAGCGCCAGCATCAGCATCCTAAATAAAGTCAGCCTGCGGGGCAAGACAGCCAGCAGGGATGCCAGACTCTGCTTGCGTGCACACCCAGAGGTTGGGGCAGGGGCACCCGTCACTAGTTCCAGGGCTGCCCCGTGGAACTAAGGCTGAGCATGTTCTGGCTTTGATGGATGCAACGAGGTTGTAGATCAGTGCCCAGTCGGCCTGGGCCAGGCCGAGGTGCCACAGGCCGGTCCTTCGCTGTTTCCAGAGCAGGTCCCCGAACCAGACAGAACCACATGGCGGGTCGGATCTGGCCCGTGAGCCTTGTGTTTGACATGTCTGACATAGATGTTACTGTGCTACAGCCTCTCTCCTGTATCTCTTTGAGACTTATTTTCAGCAATTCTTTCCGCAGTGGAGGGTCCAAGCGAGATTAAATACCACTATGCTTAATAGATTCATTTTTGTAGTACATCTAGAATGGTGAGCATTTGTATATATCTGTTTCTCAGTCTATAACATACTATTAGAACATTCTGCCTTATGACTGAAAGTTCATCTAAAATGTTATTTTATTCATTATATTGACACCTTATAATGAAAAGTAACACCCATGTCCATAGCAAGCGGTATCTGTACCATAGCTTATACTTTGGCCACTCAACCAACCCATCAGATTTGCAAAGAGCCTGGGCATGCTGAAATGAATCCATATTGGATTTCTGCACCAGAATAATGAGCCCTGGTTTTCCTACATGTAAATCCAACTATTGGCAATATACCAGATCGGTGGAATTTAAACAAAATGCATTGATATCTATGGTAAAACATCTATATTGATGCTATTTCTCTGTGCAATAGATTCCAAAAATCGCTAAATGCTGGGTATGAATTATGAAATTGTGTATGAAATTGTGATTGAATGTTGGCTATGCATAGTATATAGAACTGGTTCATTTGTTCTGGACAAGTGGCAAGCCTTATAAAGATTTTTGTGTGCTCTGAATAAAAATTGTACAGTTGGAGGGTGCAACAACTGAATTCACCAGCTGTTTTTGCTGCCTTCCTCTGTTTGGCTTAGCCAGCAAAATTCTCATTTTCTCTCCACACAAATCTGTGGGGAAAAGAACTGATAAATAAATAGGACAAAATGCTAACAGCAGGTACATTTTACCTTTGTCTACAATCTTTAAAAATAATTCACAGTTTCTGGGTGACAGCTTGGCAAAAAAGCAGAGAGCTACAGTGTTGACTTATAACTTGTCGTTTCTTCTCTACTCCCTTGCAGTGAACAATGGCAAGTATTGCCAAGTTTAATATTGATGCCCCTCGCTGGGACCAGAATACTTTTATGGGGCGTGTAAAGCACTTTTTCAACATCACAGATCCACGGACACTGCCGGTTTCAGAGCAAACGTTGGATTCAGCGAAAACAATTGTAGAGAGTTGCAGGTAGTCAACTGGGAGGTGCTGGATAATGTCAATCAAATTTGGAACTTTTGTAAAATCTAAGAATTGCCTCTTTTCAAATGTATCAATAAAACTAATAGATACTAATCAGACCTGTGATGACAGTTGCAAAGACAAATTTGGCCCAATACTGGGAGACACTTTACTGACAATATCAGACTAGGAAACCAACTTTGCAAATACACAGCAATTGCAAAATGAATACTATACATCCAGAACAGAAGTTTGGCTTGTTGTGTAACATATTATATAAATTTAGCCAAATGCAGACACTTACAGCACCCTTTTTAAAGGGGAAATAATGGAGATAAAAACTGTAATTAGAAGCAATTCCAATGTTTATAAATATTTTGATGCAACCAATCATGTACAATGGAAGTGAGTTTAGAACTTAATGTTTTTACTAATTTTTCTCATTTTGAAATTATTTTATTTTTATTATTTGAAAGGTGTTTTTTCAATGTTTTTCTGCTATCTATTGCTCTTTTTCATTTTCTTTCCTCTCACGTGATTATGTGCATTTATTTTTGGAACTTTAACAAACAGTCGTGATATCAAGTTGCATTGAGGCACGTTTGGTGGCAAATAAAAAACAGACAGACAGACAGATAGATAATTAATTAAAAATAAAATAATTTATTATTGTTAAAGTCATCATTGCAGTTGGGCAGTGATAATTCTTAAATGCATACTCAAACCTATTCTGAGAACCAGATCTTTCACAAAAGGAAACCCTTCCTAACAAAAGGATTTCTGTGCCTGGGTCTTATTACTAGAAAATTAAATCTATTGATGCTCTTACAAATGGAAATGCAGGGCAGAATAGTGCATAATATTGTACAAACAGGGCCAGCCCTATTACTAGACAGAGTAAAACAGCTGCTTCTAGCACCTGATTTGGTGCTATTGGAAGATTTAGTCATCCAAAAGGGTATTATTGTTGGTTGGTTTCTAGATGGTTCCGTCCCAGGCGACTGATGGACCCTGAGAGGTTCCTGATGGAGCTTGGGCCATATCCGGAGGATCTAGTCCACGACTCGGCGGAAAATCAGGCGGCGGCCTGGGAGACAACTGCCGCCGCAGCATTGGACCGAGTCGTGCCTTTGCGGCCTCTGACCCGACGTGGATCTCGACCATCTCCTTGGTTTA